CTGGACGCTCCCACGCCCTCTGGCCGACATGGCCAGGCCACCTCTCCTGACCAGAGTGCCCGCTTCTGAGCCTACAGAAAAGGTGATGGAAATCGGCTCGCTTTCCTGACCTAGAGGCAGGTGAGGTCTCAGGGAACTGGTCTCAAATGGTTCATTCCTCTCTGTTCCCCCTCCAGGCGGCACCAGATGTGCCCAGGGCCTCGGGTGCTGTTCCCACCTATCAGGGTGCCAGGGGGATTACAGAAGGTGCTCCCCAGCACCTCTGTTCACGGCCGCCATGGGGGGGTGGGGGTGGGGAGACGCCAGGACTGCCCTGCAAAGGCCGCCTCTGCTGCCTGCACCACCCTATCCCAGCAACCATTCTGATTAACTCCAAGAGAAAAGATAAAAAATTCCCTGCGTCATGGGTTTGTGCAAAAACAAGGGAAAAAAACAGAAACCCAGAAAAAAGATTTAAAAAAATGTTGTCCTATCAGAAGGTGGTCTTCAAGGTTTGCTGCAAACATAGGAGCCACCCGACCTGGTGGGGGTGGGCTGCCTGCCCGGGAGAGGTGCCCGTGGGTCGGGCGCCGGGGCCGCTACAGGGCGCCCCCGTGGTTTTCGGGGCCCTCCGGGCCGGCGGCCTGGGGGCTGTGGTTGCTGCAGGGCTCGCCCTTCTTCGGGGCCCGCTCCATCCACGTGTCCAGCAGCTGCTGCTTGCCCTGCTCCTCCCGCATGAACAGCTCGACCATCAGCACCTTCTCCTTGTGGATCTGCTGGCTGATGTCCTTGGGGATGTCCGGGATGACCCAGTCCACGAAGTCGCTCATGAACATGACCAGGTTCTGGAAGGACAGTCAGCGCGTGGGGGTGGAGAGGAGGACCCCGGAAAATGCTCCCCTCCTCTCCCCACCCGGCAGTACCACCCCCGTCACGCCCCTGCCAGTGGTCTTGGGCTCCCCCTTGTAGCTCCTGGGCCTCGGTTTCCTGGAAGGTGTAACTGAGGCAGGAAACCTGCCAGCAGCTCCTCCCGACATGTTTGCCAGCCTTCTTTTGAAAATTTTACAGTTACTGATTTTTAGCGAGAGGGAGAAAAAGAAACACCAGTTTGTTACTCCACTTGCCCATCACTCATTGGTTGAATTCCTGTATGTGCCCTGACCTGGGGATCGAATCCACAACCTGGGGGTAGTGGGTGACGCTCTAACCGACCGAGCGACCGGCCAGGGCAGCCGGCCTGCTTGAGAATCTGAGCTCCGTAAATAGGAAACGCCTCTGGAGGAATTGGAATTCCTTGGCTGGGAGGCTTCAGATATGATCCGCTGGGTCACGCATCACCAAATAAGACAAGTGTCAAGGCTTTAAAGCAATTCATAACATGAACACAGCCCACAAAAGGACGGAACTTCGACGGATGCCTCCGTGGGCACGCCCGCAGTTCCGTGGCTCGGAACCCTGCCGCCCGGACCCTGCCTGACACAGACTCTCAAACTCCGGGATGCGGGGCCCGGGCGTACCTGGAAGACGATGACGAAGGCCAGCCGTGCGGCCAGGACGGCCCAGAAGTCCTTGGAGATGTCGTACTTGTGTTCTGACCATGGGGGCTCCCGGTAGTCTTTGTACCTGCAAACGCCGGCAGGAATCGGGGGCTGCGCGAGGACCCTGGGGTTCTGCCCAGCACCACGTGGCCCCTGAGGCCACAGCCTTGGCAGGGACAGCCCGCCGCCCAGGGGACAGGAAGTCTCTCCATGTTGGAGGGATGGCCAAGAGCCACTGTGGGCTGGCAAGGTCCAAGGGGCTTTGCGGAAAGCTGAGGACCCCAGTTAAGTGTCCCTGGAGGCCCAGCTGTGGGCCCCCAAAGGAAGCACTGGGACCATTGGTGAAACCCTTTCTCCAAAAGAAGTCCCACCAGAAACCCCGGGAGGTCAAACCAAGTGAGCGGGGCTTCCCTGGCTGAAGTGGGTGGGGGTCCCTAAGCCTGGCTCCCCTAACCTCGACCCATGCCTGCTGTCCACAACACTCAGGCTGGGTCTGCTGAAACCCAGCCTGAAGACCACCTGCCCAGTCTTTGCAGCGGAAACTACTGGAAAGAATGACGTTTTCTCAGCGTGGCCTGTGGAGGGGGTTAAACATACAAGTGGCGTGGCCGGGGCCTGCCTGGCAACTGCCCCAGGGGGCCCAGGGCCCAGGGGCACTCCTCTCTCTTCCAGCCACAGCCTCTTGGCTGTGACCTCCTTATCTCTGACTAATATAGTCCACCCCTCCTTCCCAGTTATCAAGTTTAGACTTTGCCTAATGACTTCCTACTTGGAGAGACCAGCTCCTCACACCCCTCCCCCGAACCTGCCTCTGTCCCTCCTTCTGCCCACCGCTCTGCCAAGTGGGAGTGATGGGCACCTCCTGAGCTTTGGTTCTCTCCATCCCCTTCCTCTTTCACGCAGGCCCAGAAATGCCCAGGGTGAGGACCCGCGGTTCTGTCTCCACCTAGGCCCATCCATCTGCTCCCTGAAATCCGGGGGTGCTTGGGTTTAATGGGCTGACACCCATTGGAAATGCCCTCAGAAAAAATACCCGCAGTTTCCAGACTAGGGGGCCACAGGTGTGCTCCGTGCTGGTCACTGAAAAGCTGAGGTCCAGTGGGGGAGACTGGGAGGGGCGGCACCTGGCTCTGTGGGCACAGTAGCCCTGGCCTGGACCCCAACCCAGTCACTGCCCTGCTGTGTGTCCCTGCACAATCGCCTGGCCTCTCTGGGCCTCTGCCTGGCATTCCCTCACTTATTCACATCGTGTGCCTTTACTGAACAGCTACCATGTGCCAGGCCCCAGTCCAGGGAGCAGACGCAGCAGGGAACACAACCGACAGGGCTCCTCACCCACAGAGCGTTATCTCTGGCATGAGCTGGATGGGAGGGCTAAGCTGCCAACCCTGGAGATAGGATTGGGCTGGGAAGCCACAGTCTGGTGCCAGCTGCTGAGCGACACAGAAGTTGCACAACCTGAACTCCGATGGGAACAGGCAGCCCGTGTTCTCCCAGCATCAGAAGCCACACACGTGTCCTCCTTCCTGTGCTCAAGGCCTGCGGCATCGGGAGACTGGGAAATGTGTTTGGGTCACCTGGCAAAACTCCTAGGCATCCCTCAAAGCCCACTTACAGATCTGTCCAGATGCCACCACCTGCACTGACCGCTATCAGAGATGATCTTATTTTTTCCCTTGCGTGGCTCTCCTTAGCCACCTGCTAGCTCCCCTGGGGAGAATAACAATATTGATGTCCTCTCTGGGGATGGCTGTGAGCTTTACATGAGACAAGGCCTGTTTTAGTACAGGGACAAATGGTAGCCACCAGCATCACAGCTCTCAGCTCTGCTCTGCCGCCTCTCACACCCACCGCCCCAGGCTGGGCTCGGTGCTGCTCCTCCCACAGCCAGCTCCTCCGGGAAGTGGGTTGTCATGGGCGCGGCCAGTGGAGGCGTGGAGCTCACAGCACCTGCAGCCCATGATCATGGCCAAAGGATGGGGTGGACCTGGCCGAAAGCGAATTCTGGGGAGTGCAGTGGTCTGGCCCACGGTCTTCCACATCCACGGGGGTAAAAGCAACAAGCTACTTAAAATAATGGGCCTTCACCCTGCTCCCTGGCCTCCCCCGACGTGAGCAGGACACCTGAACTAATGCATGGGCTGGGGAGCTGCCTCCTTAACCAATGCCTGTGACCTGCTTCCTGATCCTAAGACCCAAGGCTGACCCTATGACATCAGCACTGACACTCCCGAGGGGATTTCTAATGAAATGGCCTCAGACCTCCTTGCCTTCTTTCTTCAGAATCATCCCTCCTTTAAAATTCAATTTAGACAAACAGGTCAAGCCCGAGCGTGTTCTTGCATGAACATTCAGACAACACAAAGGTCCTGGTGCTCCTGACGAGCCGGAGGCTGGGGCTTGGGCTCTGCCCGCCCAGCACCTGGGGGCACCTGCCTGCGGTATGTGCCCACCTATGTGTATGTTGAAATATGGGCCCCTCCCTGACACAGAGCACGCAGGGCACCGTGTCGCTGCTCACTGATCACTCGCCAGCCGGGAGTGTCTGCTGCTGCAGCGCCATCAGCAGCACCTGCAGAGTCCACGAGACTCGGGCCTGGGACTGCTGACTACTGGGCAGGAGACATTCTCGCCACTGGGACTGCTGGGCCGAAGGGTACAAAGCAGGAGCTGCTGGGGGACCTCCCTGCTGCCAGAAAACCACGCCCGCACGGACGAGACAAAGGTGGGAGGCAGCACCCGAGTGGCCCTGATGGCACACGGTAGCACCTGGATCCAGCCATGCCTGAAGCTACTCTGGACTTCCTAGTTAAAAGAACGAAGGGATCTTTTATGTCTCGCAGTACGACTGAGCTGTCCCGTGACTTGCCCCTGAAAGAATCCTGGCTTGAACCGGGTTCTCCCAGAAAGCGGGCTCTTCACTGGGAGGGGCGGGGAGGGTACCTGCAGACGTGCACCTCGTAGCCCAGGTCCAGGGGGTCGTTGGGGGCCGTGCCGTCCTGGAAGTCGCTGACGTTGAAGGAGGAGAGGGTATGGTTGACGAAGCCGTGCATGGTCCCGTTCTTGCTGTACATGTACAGGTACACCAGGCGGGGGATGAAGTCGGACGTGAAGGAGATCACGAAGGCCTGGGCGGAACAGCAGGGTGAGCACAGGACCCGTGGCCCTGGGCCTGCTTGTGGGACACTCTGCCCATGAGTTAGTGATGTGAGCAAAGGCCCAGTGAACACATGAAGGGTTGGGGTCATTCCTGTCAGCCCCTCCGGCAGCCCAAGGAGCTGGGAACTCATCACCCCTGGGTGGGAAGGCATGGGATGAATGCTGGCAGCCTCTACCAGCTGTGCGGCCTTGGGCTCGTCACCTAACCTCTCTGTGCCTCCATTTTCCTTCTGGTTACACAGGACTAACAACACACACTGTACAATCCTTGTGCCTCATTTTTTTTCATATATTTCTTAAGATTTTATAAATTGATTTTTAGAGAGAGAAGAGGGAGAGTGAGTTTAGAGAAACATCGATGTGAGAGTGAAACATCGATCTGCCGCCTCCTGCACAACCCCTACCAGGGATGAAGCCTGCAACCCAGGCATGTGGTCTGACTGGGAATTGAACCTGCAACTTTTCAGTGTCCGGGACGATGCTCAAGCAACTGAGCCACACCGGCCAGGCACTTAAAAAAAAAAAAAAGAGCAGAAAAATTGCCAATGAGGAATCTCTTTCTCAATGACTCTCTGTCTCTGTCTCTCTCTTGTTTATTCTCAGGACTCTGGGGAGAGTGGACTCAGGGGTCAAGGTGGGCATGGTGGAGAATTTTGCTCAAGGTCGCAGGAAAAGGTTCAGGAGGATCTGTGATTCCTGCCTAAAGCTCCCCACAACGTCTCAACACGACCCAGGGACACTTCTAAAGAGGAGACGCTGCTGCCAGCCTGCGGCCTCACCCAGGTTGAAAGCAGAGGGTGCCCAGCTCCCTGGCAGGGGCGACGGGCTGCCAGCCAGCTCAGCCAGGGCCTCCCTGTGCCCGGCCGCTGTCACTTACGTTGATGATGACGGCAAGTTTCCCGATGCCTCTGAGAATGTTGTACCAGATTCCTGGGGAGGCAGAAGGACAGTGTTAGCCCCTGCGGCGGGTCTCAGGGACCTGGCTGCTGGCCCAGACAGGCACCTGCTGACCCCAGAGCCTGGGCTCCTGCAGGTCTACCAGCTGCTTGTAAGCAAATCCTAACTTCTCAACGAGTGCTTCCCACCAGCTGGTCCCTCCGTCATCCTGAACTAGCTCCCGTGAGCCTGTTTACCCACTGATTGGCTTGGACACCACCATCTTTTCTAGAACAACAAAGATTCAAGTTGGGTATAGCTCTTGCCCATAAGAGCCCACAGCACGCTAACTTGAGGCCAAGCTCAGAGGGCTGGTGACTAGAACTGTTACGGCAGCTCTTTCCTTCTGTCCTTATATTTAGGGACAAGCCAGAGGTAGTGCGGAGTCCTGGCTGCTGAGGCTGGGTCCCGTCCTGGGTGCAATGACCATTTCCCGTGCACCTGAGCGCAGGTGAGGAGGATCTGGCTGCCCTGGAGGAGCAGGTGTTCCGCCACGGCCTCCCTGGCAGCCGGGCCCAGGAAGGAAGTGCCTTACCTGGGGGCCCTGCCTGTTAGGGCCTCGATGCTGCGACTCCTGGGAAGGAGCCCAGTACCTCCTAGCCCAGTGACCCCAACCCAGTCCTGTTGGGCCAGGAACCCTGTCGCTGAACCAAATCTGATTCCGGGGACAACAGCACTTCTCGGAAAGGGCAGGGGAGGACCACGGCCCAGCCTGGCCTGTTAGTGCGACTGGCACTAGGGAAGAATGTGGAGGGTGGGGTTTCTCTACTCAGGGCGGAGGCTGCTTTGGGGCAGGAGAGCAGTGAGCACCTGGGCGCCCCCTCGGCCCCGATTTGGGGGTGCATGTTGGTGGTCTGCAAAGACATGATTCCAGGTCTGTGTGGCCCAGAAGCTAGAAACCACAGGCTTGGAGGCAGCTCCCGAGGCCAGCTCTCTTACTACCCGCTGGCCTGTGAGGATCCTGTGACAGCGCCCCCTGCTGCTGGCCCTGCCTCTGGTCAGCAGTCCTGCGGCCGTGGGAGGGCCGACCGAATCCAGACACCAGTTGGTGTGGTTCCCTTTGGTCTTCCCTGAGAGCAGGAACTCGGCCCATCACGTGCTCCGTGGCCGTGTCAGCATCCTGTGTGTGCCCGTCTCCCGTTCATGCGGCCCACCTGTGGAGCCTGGGTTTGCGACCTCAGAGCTGGGGTGCTGGGGTGCTGGGGCTCAGGTAGCCTGGGGAAGGTTGTCATCTCTGGGTCAGGGGCTCCCTCGGGAGGCAGCTGAGCTCAGCACGAGGAAACGGGTCCATGGCCGGGCTGGTGGCAGCGGGGAACGGGTGGGCCAGCAGAGCTTTCCCGAAGTTGGGAGCGAACCCTGTCTTGCAGGTGCCACAGCGACTTCACGTGGCAGCCAGTGGTCCTCGGAGTGACCCCCACACCAGAATCATGGGGTCCCGCTTAACAAGTGCAAAACCAGGGCCAGACCAGCCTGTCTCGTGTCTTGACTCTCCCCAGGTGCGTGGCCAAGCTCCATGGTGAGGACGGCCGCCCTGCGGATCCCCAGGCGCCAGGGACCACGCTCATGGGAAAAACCTCTGGGCTTCCTTTATGGGGGTGGGGTGGGGGGGCTGCCTTCTCCCAGGTGCTGAGCCCCATTTCCAGGAACATGACAGGGCTGTGCAGTCACCCGTGACCACATGCGGCGCCCGGAGCTGAATGCCGGCAGGAGTTTGTTCCCAGAGGCTCCGCAGAAGGAGGCTGAGAGCCGGAAGCGGGTTAATCTGGTGTCAGAGGTCAGGGCTGGGAAGCTGGAGCCGGTTCCCACACACAGGCTGGGTCCCCTGCAGCGCCCTCCCTCTCCGTGCCCAGGCAGCGCGATGGAGGCACCGGGCCTTTGTGGCAGAGCTTCCCGCAGCCACCCCGCCCGTGGGTGCAGGTCACAGGGGCCACTGGGGCTCTCCGTCCCCTTGGGGCCCTGCACGGATCACAGGAGGAATACAAAAGCCTCTTCAGGAAAAGGTTACTGCGAAGCAGCCCATAAATAAACCTGTGAAAGGAGGCAGATTACGCCTCCAACCAACCATACAGGAACCAGGAAGTGAGCGGTGATCTGCAAGAACCAGAAAAAAACAGAGCCAACCTCCCCCAGGCCCCGGAGACCTGCTCCAAGCCTTGCTCACGGTGGGAACAACGGCCACAGTGGAGCACAGAGGCCGGAGGCTGCCCAGGCTCCTCCCACCCTGGTGGGTTGGCAACTTTCGGGATGTGGCTGCAGGGGGCAGCCAGGCTTTGCCAAGCAAAGGGCGCCAAAGCAAACACCGGACCGGGGCCTGCGGGCACCTGAGAAACATAAGGAAGAATGACAGGAGGTCACGCTCTTTACTGCCACTGGGCACGGGGTCCAACTTTCCCAAGGACTGTCCAGGGTGTGGCGAGCAGGACACAGCCTCCTATGATGGCTGGAGGCCGAGTCCCACATTCCCCTGGATTTGATGAGATTAGGTCCTGGGACAGGCTCCTCCTGCCCACCCAGGGAGCGCCCCGCTCCCCCGTGCCCCACACCGCTCTGGGACGCTGGGATTGACTTATGGACCAGCTGGGCCAACAGGTGCGCAGGGCAGGCTGGCCATAAAGCAGGAAGCATCACAGACCAGAAGGGACTCAGAGAGCCAGCCAGTTCAAGGGCCTTAACAGCTGTTTAAAATTGCACACAAGCCCGGCCGGTGTGGCTCATTGGTTGAGCGTCAACCTACGAACCGGGAGGTCACTGTTTGATTCCTACATGCCCTGGATTGCGGGCTCGATTCCCAGTAGGGTGTGTGCAGGAGGCAGCCGATCAATGATTCTCTCTCATCATTGATGTTTCTATCTCTCCTCCCTCTCCCTTCCTCTCTGAACTCAATAAAAATAAATTAAAAAAAAATTCGACATGGAATCCTACCGGGAAGTTGGGTAGGGAGGGCGTCTGTTCTGAGTCCTTGCTGGTGGTCTGTGATGGGGGCAAGCTAACGTGTCAGAACGCAGGGGGATGGCTGCTCTACTCGAGTCCTGGCTCTGACGTCTCTCTCTGCGGAAAGCCCAAGCGTCCAGGCTGCTCTCAAAGCCGGGCCCGCAGGTCTCGCCACAGATCCCGCAGCTCCAATGTGGGGTTGCATGGGAACCAGACAAAATCACCGATAGGCAACCATGTCGGAGCCATGAAGATGGCAACTTCATACAGTTCAACCTAAGAGACCACACTTGCGATGAGGTCCACGGCATCTCAGAGGTGGATGGGGGCCGGGGGTGGGGGGAGGTCTGGCTACCATGGGCAGGTCCATCGGCCAGCAGAGGCCAAGGCACGGCCAAGGACAGGGATGGGATGGCCCAAGAGGACAGAGGAGCTCCTGGCACAGCTGATGGAGCCCCCATATTTAGCAATGTCATGTCTCGGCTGTGAAATGATAAAGTGATCCCCCAGGAAGGAAGGCCCTGGGGTGTCCTGACACATCGCAATCCAGTCCTTCATCAGGGGGAGGGGGCGTTTCCCCTCCTTTTCTTTCTTTCTTGTGAACATCAAATGATTAAATGATACCCTACGCAGGAAGGCTCTTGTTAAGCAGCTAATGTGAGCTTCCCCATTGGCCTAGCTCTGTGCTCTGGGGGTGCACACAGTGTCCCTCGTGGGGAGGGGAAGTTGAGGATTGAAGGGAAGTGTGGCCGGAGGACCTGGGCGGTGGGTGGTGAGACGTGTCCGGACTAACTCTCGTGGCCAATACATCTCAGGAGTTAGGAGGCCGGCGGGTGGGGGACGGGGGAGCCTTGGGGTTGTACATTACCCCGCCCCGAGACCCTGAGTCTCCATCCAGGCAAGGCACAGTGAGCAGCCTGTGGGGACCCCCTGCCTGGCCCCATTTTGCTGGCTCTGACTCTCGCTTGGGCAGAGCGGGTTCCCTCCCCCAAACCAGCATGTGCTCGCTCACAACCCGCCGGTGGGTCACTCACCGATGTCTTTGGCCCTGACGGCCACTGGCCTGCGCAGCTCGGTGACGAACTTTTTGGCATCCAGGCGGATCTCGATGATGTTATTCAGCAGCGCGAACAGCGGGGCGAGGGGGAAGGATGCCACGAACAGGGTGACGAAGCCAAACTGGATGACTGCAGAGAGAGGGAGCCATCAGCCTCCCACACGGGAGGGGGTGCCCACCGCCCAGGAGCCCCGGGAGCTGACCACTGGGGTTCTGGCTGGTGCCCTGCCTCCAGAGGAAGGTGACCGGGGAGTGTGACTCTTGAACAATGGGCCCAGATGGCCCATAAGTACTCATTTATCACATGTTTAATCTTGAAAAAGAATACAAAATTATCTTGAATGTAAGCTATAATAAGTAAAAAGAGAAAATCAATAATGGGAAAAAGGCCCCACGAGTATCAGGGCCTAGCCTCGGCCATCGTGCCTGGGCTAGAAGGGCTCGCATGGGCCCTTACGCTCCCATTGGCCAGAGGTTCCTGCACTTGGGGGGGTCTGCCAGGGTCTTCAAAAGCCCTTAACATCCCCTTCCATAGGGCCTCGGGGAGCCGGGCAGGGACCAGTGTGCAGGCTGATGTCCCCCTGCCTCAGGCCCCTCCCTCTCCCTCCTCATCCTCATCACGGACAGGCTGCCTCTGTGGTTTCTTTGCTGGGGACACTGCAGCCAGCACAGGGCCGGCGCCCCGTAAGGGACAGGAAAAGGTTGCTTAGCGGAAGCGAGTGGGGCTGCTGGTTCGGGAATTGCACAACAGGACCCGGCCAAGGCGCTTGGTGCCAGGCGGTGAACCAGGAGCTGACAGGCTGTCACGGTGTGCCTGGGCAGCTGAGTGTGGCCACTGTCCGCACCGTGGGTGGGGGCTCCATGTGGCCTCTGGGCCGTATGCTGGTCCGGTCTAAAGGCTCTGGGGGTGATGGGGCCCTTGGATAAGCTCAGTGTGGGGCCAGGGGCTGCTGAGGCTGAGGCTGTGGGTTCCCCCACTCGTCTTGCACTGCTGGGCCAGGAGGGCAGCTGGAGCCTC